ATTTTTTATTTGTTAATAGGTTTGCTGGTGTCCTTTTTAAGTAGGGTAGCTCCTTGTTCGCGCCTTAAAAGCTTCATTACATGTAGTATATAGTATTCAGCTAAAAATAAGCTGTTACTCGAATCCATTTAAAAAAGGCGGCAGCATCTTGTTTTCCTCCCATGTTAGGAATTGACTAGGCATTGTGTTACATTATTCTCTCAGTATTTGCTTAAAGTTGCAATCCATAGATTGATTGTGATCATTAATAATGTACAGTTCTCCTCTTTCCAAACCTGACATTACACTGTCTGCAATTCGTATTTCTGTTATAAATCACAACTTTGATTTGAATCTGATGTTGGTTTGTTGTTCTGGATTGCACCTTTAAACTTCCTCTCTTGAAATAGACCAGTTGATCTAAAGTCTTCCTTCTGCCACTCTAACATGTTAGACCTTGGCTTGTCCTCTTTCTCTTTGTGTCTCTTCACGCTGTTGCTGCTTCAGATAGAGCCCTGTCCTCTGCTTCTCTGTTTACTGGAAAGTTCTCCTCTCCTCTCCTCTCCTGGCCACTGAAAGGCCTTTTTCCAAACGCAGTGCCAGATAAGGACGCTGCTGAGAAAGCCACAGTGTCCGACCGAACTGGATTCAATGGTATAAGTTGGATTGTTGGATTGAGAAAGGTGGTGTGTGTGTGAGTGAGACTGCTGTGTCCCCCTCCCCGCCCCCGATGGTTACTGTAGGGCCTGAGGATCACATGTAGCTTAGTTCAGCGTCACAGAGGCACTTTATTGATGCGCCGTTGTGTTTTGTCGCTCTATTTGGAACAAGTAACACCCTAACACAGGCGCGGGGGGTGTAATTGGAAGAACAGCATGCTCTCCATATCCGACACAGTAGATTTTTTTCATCCAAAGGAACGCAGAGCTGTGATGGCATTTCCTTTCATAGCTAGTGAGACTCAATGATGTCTGCTCACACCAGAAATAATAGGAAGTAATATTTCTTAGTTTACTGACATAAAACAGTTTTTCTGCCAGTATAAAGGCTGGCACAATGGAAGCACCACCTTCATCACGTGTTCCAGAGGCAAATATTAGATTGTAGGGGAAATAATGAAATCAGCTCTGTGACTAATGACAGAGTCAGACTGTTGAACAGGAAGCGTTGGGACCAGAGGTCTCCTCACATTGCTTGACCATGAGCAGTGTCAATAATGCAATCCTTACTGAGCGAGTTTAGATTCAGGGTCTCACTCTGTTCATACACTTAAAGCTTTGTTCTGCTCCCAGGCAGGACCTGGCTGTTACGTCTGCAAGTGAAATCACTCACTTCCACCCACCAATATTAGAGTACTCTTATTTAGCAGGCTGTCATGTGTAACATTTATGAGTGACAGGATCTTTGTGGCTTGGTGCAGGTGTGTGGAGGACTGTTTTCATAGAGCTCTCTGCACACTGATCATCTTCTTCTCCTACTGTCCTACAGAGGGAGCCAGATCGGGAGGAGCAGCCAGACGACAACATGCCCCCCAAGTTTAAACGACACCTCAATGACGATGAGGTCACGGGATCCATTCGCAGCGAGAGGGTGAGACACAGATGGAGGGGGAGAGGCAGCCCTCAGATGATTTACAAATTGACAGTCAGCATGCTGTAATTAGGATAAGGTTGAAAACTGAAACAATGATTTGTTTCCTTTTTACACAGTAATCATAGAAGTTGGGAATGTTGAAAGTATTTAATTTGAAATGTCCAAAACAGATGTTAATATAAGATGCAGAATTT